GGGTGGCAACTGGAATTCTGAGATTAACGATCTCAAGAGCACTGCAACTGATCCAACCCGATGACTAGACTTGCAGATATTAAAGATACCTAGGCTTGGTTTTGTTGACGAGTGTGTCGTTTCGAGTAAGAAAGAAGGGAAGGGGATAGAACTGTCAAAAACGGTTGCAAAGCTTACGGATCGTGTACAAAGCTATGCAAAGGAGGTACTGCATCAGTCAGTAGATAACTGCAACGGTAGGTGCGAGGTTTCAGTGTTACTTGAGGTGTTGTTTACATTTTTGCGATAATTGGAAAGGACAGAGGAACGCTGGGAAAGATCACATCTACAACCTGTGTATATTTTAAATGAAATTGCTGATCAGGTCGCAATCTTGTTCACAATGCGTTAACATACATCGAGGCGAGTGTGACCACCACCTAGAAGTAGTCGTGGTTCTTTTCAAGGGTAACTTGTCTCTCCGGTCTTTTCAATTTTTTTTATGTTTCTTTATTTCCCTCGAATACGGGTCGAGACCTCCTAAATCAGAAAACTAACAAATAATTATTAATATTCCCTTTCAGGCAGGCTACGGACAAATGGTTTCAATTCGTTGATGAACGTTCACCCGACCGCTAACGGAACTCAGCTGTCCCGCTCTGGCCAAGCGTCTCCATAGAGGCCCAGACAGCCGTGGCGCCTGTTAGTATAGGCAGATAGTATTGCCGGCAAAGACTGTCTTAGCCTACACTACTAAGTGGTGCTAATGTTTACAAGACGCCTGATACCTGGTTAGTGTCCTTAAAACTGCTTTGCATTTTTAAGGTGCAAAGCGGCGCTAAAGCGGTCAGGTTAGATCAGTGTCTTGCTTTAGCCGGGTCATATATATGCCACATAAACTCACGCCAAAGACGTGCAAAACAACTGCTGCTCGACCATTGATAATAAAAATATGGCGATAACGCTATGACATTATTGGGCAAAAGTGTCTATCGGTGAGCAGGTCGCCAGCAGCTTTATGTATGTCCAATTAATTTAACGCTGAGGCCACACTTAGCCTTGTATGCTTAAGCCGGTTTGGATTGACGCAGGCAATAATGCAGGAAAGGTGGACAAAACGGTAGTGAAATTTGAATCAAATTTTCATACAAAAAGAAGTGGTTTAAAAGGCTGGCGTCAAACAATAAGCGGAGAGAGGGTGCGTGACACTTGTATGTTAAGTACACTTATCGTGATAACTTGTTTTCCACTCTCGGATATTCTGCCGAACAATCGTAAAAAGTATTTCGGTGGTGACCATTTAAACTCCCCCTCTGACCCCTTAACTATCAGAAACGGAGTCAAAGCTAATCAAATGTACAGTGGGGAACGATGACCAAGGGAAAGTATTGGTTGCCATCTCACGGATTCATACAGGAATAGATAATGAGTGGAGCAAAAGCCAAGCAAGTCTTGGTCTCGGAAAGTTTTTGGTGGACCGAAATTGGCATCAGGTTCAAGTGGTAAAGCTCATAAGCTAGATAATTATTGCTATCGTAGAGGACTGTTGAAGTTCCTTAGTGAACGAGTCAGTCGAGAGAGGCGTGGATAGAAAACACGTTAAAATAATTAAAAAATAATGCCACTATGCACAATCTTACCAGGCATATTTGTCCAAGACATCAAGTCATTGGGCTGATTAGGTGGTCGAAACTGAACTGCAGCCATGGGGATTTTCGTGCCGGGCATACCACCGGCCAGGGGTAGTTGGCAAAGGTCACGCGTCTCCTCCTGGTTCTGCTGCCAGCGAGCAGTCTTCTTGCCCTGCTGTTCATAATGCAATTCCCAAATGCCAGTGCCTGTGGGCGGCTCGTTTGTCCAGACATTGTTCTCCTGCAACAGTCCGGTGGGCTCGGTTTTGGCCGAGGCGAAAGACTTTTTGGCGTAGTAACCTGCATCATTGTTGTTAGGATCACTTGGGTGACCAGTGGCAGTTTCCTCCCACGGGGTTGACTGGTCCACACCCCGACTACCCCACCCGTCGTGTGAGTTTATGAGCTGAGTAATGAGGTCATCAGGACCAGTGGTAGCGGTAGTGGCTGAGGCTGCAACAGACGCGTTGCTATTATCACTCTGTGAGTGTGAAAGGGGTGCTTGCGAGGAGGAGGGCGAGGGGATACGGGGTTCCTGA